AGATCGAGACCATCCTGGCTAACATGGTGAAACCCGTCTCTACTAAAATACAAAAAACTAGCCGGGCGTGGTGGCAGGCGCCTGTAGTCCCAGCTACTCGGAGGCTGAGGCGGGAGAATGGCGTAAACCCAGGAGGGTGGAGCTTGCAGTGGACCGAGATCGCGCCACTGCACTCCAGCCTGGGCGACAGAGCGAGACTCCGTCTCAAAAAATAAAAATAAAAAAAAAATAAAGACTACTCAACTTCTCCCTTGCCTCACAAGTGCAGTATAAACTCAGTCAAACAGCAACAAGCAGCCAGCCTCCTCTGGGTTCAGCACCTGCTTTCCTAAAGGATCTCCTGACCAAGGAGGTAGTTTCTTTCAAAATTAATTTTTTTTATTTTTATTTATTTATTTTATTATTTTTTTTCCTGAGACTGAGTCTCACTCTGTTGCCCAGGCTGGAGTGCAGTGACGCGATGTCGCCTCACTGCAACCTCCATTTTCCGGGTTCAGGTGATTCTACTGCCTCAGCCTCCAAAGAGCTGGGACTACAGGCATGCACCATCACGCCCAGCTAATTTTTGTATTTTTAGTAGAGACAGGATTTCGCCATTTTGGCCAGGCTAGTCTCGAACTCCTGACCTCAGGTGATCCGCCTGCCTCAGCCTCCCAAAGTGCTGGGATTACAGACATGAGCCACCACGTCTGGCCTTTCAAAATTATACATTCAGAGGTGACAAGACCTGATAGAAGTGCACAAAGTAGGCTGGGTGCGTGGCCGGGCACAGTGGCTCACGCCTATAAGTGATACCAGCAATTTGGGAGGCCGAGGCGGGCAGATCACGAGGTCAGGTGTTCAAGACCAGTCTGGCCAACATAGTGAAACCCCATCTCTACTAAAAATACAAAAATTAGCTGGGCATGGTGGCATGTGCCTGTAATCCCAGCTACTCGGGAGGCTGAGGCAGGAGAACTGCTTGAACCAGGGAGTCAGAGGTTGCAGTGAGCCGAGATTGCACCACTGTATCCAGTCTGGCAAAGGAGCGAGACTCCGTCTCAAAAAAAAAAAAAAGAAAAAAAAAAGTGCACAAAGTATTGTCGCTTGACTTCTTAGTCATCTCATGCAGGCATGTTGTATGACCACGTACAAGAAGACTGTACAAAGAAGCAGAGGCCACAGGTCAAGAGAAATGTGTTTTGTAACAATCAGAACTCTTCCTAGACTAGCACACTCTGCTGAGGCTCTCCAACCTACCCACATTCACAGGAAAGGGGCCTGAAGGTCTGTTTTCACTGAGCAAAATAATTTTACTACTGTTAAAAGTTAATTTGCACCGGGCGCAGTAGCTCACACTTGTAATCCCAGCACTTTGGGAGGCTGAGGAGGGAGGCTCACGAGGTCAGGAGTTCGAGACCAGCCTGGCCAAAATGGTGAAACCCCGTATCTACTAAAAATACAAACATTAGCCGGGCATTGGTGGCGCGCGCCTGTAGTCCTAGCTACTCAGGAGGCTGCGGCAGGATAATCGCTTGAACCCAGGAGGCGGAGGTTGTGGTGAGCCGAGACTGCGCCACTGCACTCCGGCCTGGGCAACAGAGCCGAGAGACTGTCACAAAAAAAAAAAAAAGTTGATTTGCCAGTTAGATACCATCTACAACAAAAGTTTCATTTATTTTTCCGATTCTAAGACACTCCTACATTTCCTTTGTCTCCTATGGCGAGTATCTCTTTAGAAGAAAAAAAATCAATCAAGTTATCACCATAATATTCACTTTCTCCTAAAGCAAAAAGAGGAAGACATTACCACTCTCCAAAAAGTGGTGGTGAAGAACCAAAGAAATTATGTTCCAAAATAGAACTCAGCCATTATGGACATTTAACCAGGCTCTTTGGTAGGAAACAAACGGTGAGCTTCGAGGTACACGAGAGGTTCCGAACGGGTCTCGGGAAGCAGCAGCCAGGCAGAGGGTCCCCCTTGCCAGAATCACAGGGCCGTGACACCGGCCTGCCTGGCTCGCGACACCGGCCTGCCTGGCTCGCGGGGGCTTTGGCTTGATTCGTCTAGTCTTAGCATCCAGCGTCCTGAAAATCACTCGCAGGAGCGCTATCTAAGAAAGAGGTAAGTCTATTTCTCAGCCAGGAGCAACACAACTCCCAGGAGAGCATCAGGGTGGCACCGGACACACTTCAGCGCTCCGGATCAGCAGAGTCCAGAGCTTCGGTCAGAGAAGCTGGTTTCCCGCTACTAGCCGGCCAGACCTCAGGCACTGGCGCTCTCCGACCTCCACACCGGCTGTTCCCCGGATTCGGTGCCAGCATCTAGGAGGCTCGGCGGGCGGCCGGTCAGGACGCTCGAGCGATGTTCCAGTGATGCTCCACCGGAGCCCCGACCCCACGCGCGCCCACTCCAACGCCGCGCCCGCCACCGCCCTCCCCGCGGGCGTCAGGCCGGTCTATCGGCCCGGCTCCTGTCACTCACCCGCCCGGCCCGGGTACCGGGCGCCCACGGCTCCCTACGGGAGCTGGGCCCCCCGGGCCTCCAGGTTTCGGCCCGCCCCCTGGCAGGCAGCACAGGCGGCTGAGCCCCGCTACAGCGGCCTCTCACCGGCCGCTTGGTCCAGCTCCCGGCGCTGCCCACTGGGTACGGATCAACAACAAGATGGCGGCTAGCCGAGGGGGCGGGGGCCGGGCGTCATAGTAACCAGGACTGCAAAGAACCCGCCCCCGAGGGGTGTCATCCCCAATCAACAGTCTTTTTGCTCGTCGCCAGGGGAAGTACTTCCCGCTGACAGGTCAGCTCACCTGTCAGTCAGAGTCTGCCTCTCAGTGCCTGTGCCGAAAGCGTGGGGCACGTGACTGTGACGGCATGGGTTTGCGCATGCGCTTCGTTCTCGCTGTGGCTGGCGGAGGTTTTGCTGGCGACTCCGAAGCCAGCTCGCCCTTGGCCTCTCTGCGTGTCTGGCCCCGGTGCGGTACCGGCGGCGTCTTCTCATACGTTTGCGCACACACAGGGAATCTAAGCGGTGTGCTATTCGTTTTTTTGTCACCCACTCTGGGAGAAGGGGGGTGCAACCCCAGTTCACTCTGGAGAGGAAACTGAGGCTCAGAGAGGGGAGGCCGAGCCAAGGTCACACCACCTCTAGAAATGGAGGTGCTGGGTCTCGCACCTCCTCCTACTGGTTTCAGTGTGAGGAGCCTCTATTCCGGCTTCCCGCGCTTTGTCCCTTAGTAGCCTCGAGGTACAGCAGTCTGTGCTGCCACAGCAGCCTCTGGTTCATTGCCCATGCTTTCCTGCCTGAGGTTTAGAGCCTAGCACAAGTCCTGACACACAGCGGGCACTCCCTTTTATCAGTCCTAGAGCATCTTGTCTTGAGATCCTATGACAGCATCTCTTGCCCTGGATTGTCATGACCGGCCTCATAGTAATGGTCCCAGGAAGATGGTCACACCTTGCTCCCCATACAGAACACCTAACTCTGGGCTTGGCTTCAGGCTTAGAACACCAGATGAAGTTACCTGGCCTGGGCCCACACCCAAATGCCCCAACTAGCTAACTCTTTTGAGCCTTAGCCTTTCTTTAGCTTTGGTTGCCCCATCTGTAGAATGAAAATAAAAGTGGAGCTTCTCAGAGGAAGATTTAATGAACCCTTAGAGCAGGGGAAGAACTCAGGAAAAATCTGCCTACAACCACTTCCTGGAACAACCTGCTTCCAGAAGTTGCTGTTGCTGAGGCGTGCCTTAAAACACTAACTTTGGTGGAAGCCCCATGAAGGGTTTTTGTTTTGTTTTGTTCCCACAGAAGGCACTCAGCTTCTTCTTGGCCCTGGGATACCATAACTGGTTCAGAAAGGGAGGCCCTCCTAGCCAGGTGCGGTGGCTCATGCCTGCAATCCAGCACTTTGGGAGGCCAAAGCGGGCGGATCACTTGAGGTCCGGGGTTCGAGACCAGCCTGGCCAAAATGGCGAAACCCCGTCCCTACTAAAAACACACAAAAAAAAAAACTAGCCGGGCGAGGTGGTGGGCGCCTGTAGTCCCAGCTACTCGGGAGGCTGAGGCAAGAGAATGGCGTAAACCTGGGAAGCGGAGCTTGCAGTGAGCCGAGATCTGGCCACTGCACTCCAGCCTGGGCGAGAGAGCGAGACTCCGTCTCAAAAAAACAAAAAACAAAAAACAAAAATTAGCCAGACGTGGTGGCAGGTACCTGTAATCCCAGCTACTCAGGAGGCTGAGGCAGGAGAATCACTTGAACCTGGGAGGCAAAGGTTCAGTGAGCTGAGATCACGCCACTACACTCTAGCCTGGGCAACAGAGCAAAATTCTGTCTCAAAAGAAAAGGAAAGAAAGTGAGGTTCTCCAGTGCCCTGAGGAGGTTCGGGCCCACAGACTCAACAGAGGAGGAAAGACTGTGATAACTTGGATTTACCACAGTAAGGTCCTCTTGGAGAGCTGGCAGAAGCCTGAGACCTGATGTCAGGCTGGGCATGGAGAGTGGGCCAACATTGCACCCAGCAAGACCTGCCCACTAGCAGATTGTTGCAGGCCACCTGGCTACATGCAATAGCTCAGGTCAGCACAGGGAGAGGTGAGAGCAGAGGAACCAGAAGAAACATCAGGAAGAAAAGTAAACAACCCTCAAAAGGGAGATTCTGCTAATCCTCCAGGACCAGCCATGCCACAGGATTCTCAAGTCTGCATCACCCCTCACCCCAGTGCAAAAGCTCCAAATCCTTCCCAAGAAAACCTCCACATACAGTTGGCAAATTGCCCTGAAGTTTGATGGGGTCCTCAAAAAGCAAAAAGCAACAGTGGTATAACTACCATGGATAACAGTTTGGAGGTTCCTCAGAAAACTATAAATACAGTTACCACATGATCCAGCAATCCCATTGCTGGGTATGTACCCAAAGGAAAGAAAATCAGTATATCAAAAAGATATCTGCACTTCCGTGTTTGCTGCAGCGCCATTCACAATAGCCAAGATTTGGAAGCAACCTAAGTGTCCATCAACAGATGAGCGAATAAAGAAAATATGGTACATATGGGCCAGGCGTGGTAGCTCACGCCTGTAATCCCAGCACTTTGGGAGGCTGAGGCAGGCGGATCACGAGGTCAGGAGATCGAAACCATCCTGGCTAACATGGTGAAACCCCATCTCTACTAAAAATACAAAAAATTAGCCGGACTTGGTGGTGAGCACCTGTAGTCCCAGCTACTCAGGAGGCTGAGGCAGGAGAATGGCATGAACCCAGGAGGCGGAGCTTGCAGTGAGACGAAATCACGCCACTGCACTCCAGCCTGGGCAACAGAGTGAGACTCCATCTCAAAAAAATAATAAAATGTACATATGCAGAATGGAGTATTATTCAACCATGAAAAAGGATGAAATTGACTGGTATGGTGGCTCACGCGTGTAATCCCAGAACTCTGGGAGGCCGAGGCAGGAGGATCACCTGAGGTCAGGAGTTCAAGACCAACCTGGCCAACATGGTAAAACCCCGTCTCTACTAAAAGTAAAAAATAAAAAGCCGGGTGTGGTGGCATGCACCTGGGGTCCCAGCTACTCAGGAGACTGAGGCATGAGAATTGCTTGAACATGAGAGGCGGAGGTTGCAGTGAGCCAAGACCCTACCACTGTACTCCAGCCTGGGTGACAAAGTAAGACTCCGTCTCAAAAAAAAAGGAAAAAGATTTAAACAAAACAGGTGGGATGGTTAATGGGCACCAGAAGAAAAAAGAAAAATGAATGAGACCTAGTGTCTTTTGATAGCACAACAGAGTGACTATAGCCAATAATAACTTAACTGTACATTTTAAAATAACTAAAATAGTATAATTGGATTATGTTGTAACACAAAGGATAAATACTTCCAGAGATGGATACCCCATTTTCGATGAAGTGATTATTACGCATTACATGCCTTATCAAAACATCTCATGTACCTCCAAATTTATACACCTATGTACCACAAAAATTAAAAATTAAGAAAAAATTAAAAAAGAGGAACATTCAACAACAAAAAAGCAACAGTAATCCCAGACACCTGTAATCCAGCATTTTGGGGGCTGAAGCAAGAGGATCACTTGGACCCAGGAATTCAAAAACGCCTAGTCAACATAGAGAGACCCCATCTTCTAAAAAAAACTAAAAATTAGCCAGGCATGGTGGTCCATGCCTGTAGTCCCCACCTACTGGGACATGGGAGTAGGAGGATCG